CTCAGACGCAACATCCCACGTCCCTCCCACTGGTGATGCGGCACACCTGCAAGCCACACACCCGAATCCTGCCTCCGGATAATTCAGGCAAGCCTTCCTTCCGACCTGACAATCTGGAACTTCCCAATGGCTTGTTGCTCTCTGTGAGAGGACCTTACGATGACAATGACTCTTGGCTAAGCTGATGGACATTGGTGAGACACACCACCTTTCTCGTGTTGGAAACTCCATCGAAACATGACCTGGCAGCTACATCTTGCCTCTTTCCATTGACGACCCCAGATAGCCTGGAGCTATGAAATTTTTATCGATGGTCCACAAACAAATGCATCCCACTCTGCGTCGCAACCATGAGCCACAGTTACGGATACGCCACCCGAAAATTTCCTGATATTGCTCCCGCTAAGACCTCAGGGCGGCACAGTACCTAGCCGCCCTTTCCTATCCTTGTCCAGAACCAATCCCCCTGCCCACACCGCAAACAACGAACTGGATGGATTTACGCAGCTCGGAGCATAAAATTCCTTTCACAGCAGTCGCATAAAGCCAAGACTACATTGGACAATGATGGCTTCTCCGCTTGCTAAATCCAAATGGGTTCGTTTTCTGTGACATGCGCAAAATCCACGCCGGTGGCTTGCAGGGATAATGCATCTCTTGCCTGCCCAAGTGCACCTCTCTGCGTTTCGACTAATCTGACCATTCTGCTGCCCCAACTCGCATCGCACATCCAGTAGCGAATCTTGATTGGTCACTTCTTTGTCCACCCTTTTGGCGGAACGGGTGGTCGAAATATTCCACCGTGCAGATCCACGCTCAAAAGGATTGGATGACAGCGCAATATTTTCATCGATGACTCTCAGCCGTTGACCGAGGGGCAGGACATGATCAAGCCTCATCACGTTCTTAGCCAGGAGGATTCCGTCAACTAGCTTGCATCCTTCGCCACAGATGAGGGATATATGCACAGACTTTTGGAGAGTCACCACCTTCCTACGTGCTGCTAATGAGAATATAGCGAACAGTTCATTCCACGGGAAGTCACTTCCACAAAATCCAAGCTAATGATAGCGAGCGATACGCGCTGATAAGGCTTTGCTGAAGTGTCTCCGAAGGGAGTCAACAGATAATAGGCACTGAAACCAAAGGCATACAGAAAAGGCAGATCAAATTGAGCATACCACGACTTGGTGTACTATGCGCATCTTGCGACAACAGCATGGCCGGCCGTCTGGGTGCGGCATCTTCTATCCCTTTCAACCAAGGGTGGTCTTCGTCTACATCGGTCGGCCATTGGCGAGAGCTTGATCTTTGTTTGCGAGCGTTGTTGGTCTGCTCCAAGAATGCCCCAACGTGTCAATGCCTTGAATGCCCCCCAGGGTTCTCTGATGTCTAGGCGCTCTCAAGGTGCTTCTAGGCGAGGTTTGTAGCAACGATGAACCGTGCTGGAGGCACTCTGTCGTATCCCTTCCACTGATGACTTCGTGACTATTGCGTGCTGGCTCATCATGGATTCACATCATGGCAGGTTTTCTATACTGCAGGGTCCGTCACATTCATACAAGCTGATTGTCAGGAATCCGCAATCTCCCTTCTAGTTCAGGTCAATGAGTTTCGCTCTGATGATGCTTTGAGTCTGCCTGTGGCAGCTGGATGCATGTCAGCGTCGAACGTTAATCTTTCTCTATTGCATGTTATCAACTCTACCAGGGGGGGATCTCTCGAGGGCAGGGATAACTGAGTATCAGTGCACCACTACCTCCATGAAACGTGTGTTGAATGTCTCCTCTCGCGAATCTGTTCTGAGGAGGGTGATGACCCTCAAACACGGTGTAATGCACCTCTATCAAACTCCCTGTTTTTGGGCTTGTTTTCTATCAATTATTACTCTACGAACAGCGGTACCAGCTTCTTACAGATGTTGGCGTGCAGTACAGATTTCTACGGACGGCCGGGACGGGTGCCTCTAGTGCGCCTTCTCTCCGATAGTCCACTTTCTTTAGCATGTCAATGTAGAGGTCAAGGAGTGGATGCTTGACTTAGCACTTTCTGTACGTCGCGGTGCTCTTTGGGCCCTCTGGTGCCTGTGGATTGCTGGCAGACACTACCAGAGTGCCCGGATGCCCCTTGTTGACTCTGGAGTGAGGGGATTCTGGGGACAAGGCTGTTAAACGAGGAGATAACCACTGCTGATCCCACAGAGGTTCCAATTATGGCGTGGGCTGAACAAGCATAAACTTTACAGAATCCAGTCGACCTTCGGAATCAGATGTCGCCGACTTGTTCCGTCCTCTACCCTTCTCGTTCAGTATGTCAGAAAGCCTGGACCCTTGGCTTTCATGCAGCGGGGGCTCTGGCTAGCGATAGTGTGTTGTGACAGCGGTACTGTGTACCTTAAACAAAACCTTGACCTTCCCTGAGGAAACATCTCAGGCAGCCAAAGTCGACATTGAGGAGCTCAAAGATGTGATTGCGTGGAGAAGTCCACCGCAACTGAGGGTGACTCGTAGGTTGGGGGTACGGAGAGAGCAAATTTGATCCACCTGCAAGTGATTGATGCATGTATGTTCATTCTCTCGTCACGTCCGTTGTGGGCCTCGCAAGGGAAAGTGAAGGCAAAAAGCAGATGTCCACGTCAATCAATCATTCGAGCGTTCTGCTTGCGGTTCAACCCTGTTGCTGAGCTGTCATATCTGTGTGTCAAAACATAAAAGGCAGGTGGCTTGAGACTGGAACAGTGGAGTATCTCGACGCCGGGAATTCCTCATGGCAAAAGCCCTCATTATCACAGGCAGACTCGATACGAGAACTGCAGCATCTCGCCGAGGGGATGAGCATTTCACCTCTGCTAGGACCACTTCGTGTCGATGACAGGGACCACGACAAGGTTCCTCGTATGGAGATATTTCAAAAACCTTACCAAAAGGGAATGAGTTTTGGCGAGTTGAGAGGAGAGTGGTCAGATAGAGCTGCGTAACACCGGGGCGGGGAAACATTGATAACAATGGAGACATGGCGCAACGGCCTCGCATCAGCTCAAGGTTCAGATCCCTGCCGTCTTCATGGCAATGCTTGCACCTTGAACATGCCCTTGTAATTCGCACGTGAAAATCAGTCAGTGAATGCGCGAATTGTAAGATATCTGAGCGAGCAAGTTGGTCAGCAAGAGGCTGGAGACTAGGAGGCCGAAACATGTGACATTCAACAGCTCTCCACCCGAAGATCTACCGCCTACGGCCTTGGCAATGATCCTCTCGCTACACCACCACCACCAAGCCCACCACTAGCGCCCATGGGACCAGCAAACTGCAACTGTAACTGCGCAGTGTGTATCTGTTGAATGAGTGGCCGAGACATTTTGCAACAAGCCACATGCAACACCACTGTCGGCGGTATCTATCATTAACCACAGGTGTAACTTGAGTACCTTAAAAATCATCGTGGATCTCAGCCTAAAATCCTGATGTCGGCGGAGGTCGCAACAGGGCCAGCCTCCGGTGCTGGTGCTGCTGCAGGACCAGCTGCCAGGAAGGTTGTCTACTGCGGAGGTGCGATTCCTTTGTCCTCCAAGCAGACCCAATGGAGCGAGACTTGATGCTGATGCTAAATTTGTGCGATTTACAGTTTGCACCCTTCCACCTGAGGTACAACATACATCTGCAAAGTTCAAATGAATGTGGCTGGCAGTGGACTGACTCGACTTTGGACAACACCTAGTATTGCGAATTCGGCGGGACGGTCAAGAAGTGTGCAGAATGGCTCGAGAAGAACCACCCTGACATGCACCAGAAGTTGTACTCGGAAGGTGTGCGGTCCCGTAACCCTTTACCTTTCTACCGACCTAACGAAGTCTGCCACAGAAGCATTGAACGCCAATCTATCAGCTCTCTCCGTCGATGCACAGAAACGAGCAGAGAAAGATGCTGCCAAAAAGACAGCCAAAGCTGCCGCGGCTGAACAGCGAGAGGCGGAGAGAAAGGCCGAAGCCATCGTTTTGATAAAGCGTGTCGAACGAAACAAACGGAAGTACGTCACAGTTGTTTCAGGCTTGGAAGAACATGGATTGGATTTGAAGAAGGTAGCCAAAGAGTTGGGCAAGAAATTCGCGACGGGAAGCAGCGTCACCAAGACGGCTGCAGGAGGGGAGGAGATCACTGTGCAAGGTGATGTGAGTGATGATCTGTATGACTGGCTGCTGGAGAAGTATCCTGAGATACCAGAGGATAATTTGGACATGAAGGATGATACAAAGAAGAAGGCTTGAAAGGCAAGCACTGGACGACTATGTCGGAGGATTATGGTCAAACCCCTGCGCCCACAACCCGAAACTCGTCAGCAATATGTGCCGAGATCCAGGGTGGACAGTTATGAATTGAACGAGGACAATGACCTGGTATGGATCCCGAGGTGAAGAGAACAATGTTCAGTAGAAATCGTGCACGAAAACTTCAGCATTATCAAGCTGCCTGAACAACTCTCGACCTTTTCTCTATAGTAAGGCCCTTTGAGCTTTGAGATGCCTGGGAGTCTGTGAGGCTCATTAAATCCTGCCCAGACCGAGAATGCTTCACTTAGACTGTCGATAGTAACTCATGTCTACCACCACTGCAAGCTGAACTGCTCATCTAGGGTCTTCTCGCTTTCCCCTCTCCCATAAACTGTGTCGCAGGTTTCAGGATCACAAATCCCCCTGGGAGGCTTGACAATTAGACATGTCTGATCACGGATGTCCCTCTTCCGACAGCTCCTCTGACTGGATATCCTATAATAGCAGCTCTTCTCACAGTTTGAGCCACAAGACCAGTACGCGTACTGCATTGCTGTCGACACTGAGAAAGAACCCATGGTTGACGTCATTGTCACTCTTCCGCCGGCGAAAGCTGGCCCCCAACGATGTTGCTTTTGGGCCTCGCCTGGCACCCACATCAACTGAAGCCGAGCCTAATGGGATTGCCCCTGGTGGAGTATCCCCCGTGGCTAGCCCTCAATCACCAAACAAAATGTCCCCGAACAGCCACTCAAGCAGTGCATCCTGGGCTCGCTCACTATTCGCTCCGCAGTTCAGGCGATACCGTCAACGCGAACTTCCCTGGTCATTGGCATCAGACACACCGCGCAACCCCCAGTATGGCGATGACAGCGAGATACCCGAAGCCTACGTCTTGCCTTCCGACACACTGACCTCGACGCCTCGACTGCCCTCGAACCCTCATGTCTGGTCAGAGCTGATCAGGATGGATCCCAATCACCCGACTTTGAGCCCCAATCTCACAGACCTGCTCACTGGTCTGTCGAGTTCAGAAGATGCAAGCCGGAAAATGGCAGCTTTCAAATTGCAGTCGCTCATCAACGATCCTTCTTTTGCGGAACATTTCGTGCTTGCAGGTGGCCTGCCTCAACTGCGCACACTCGTCCTCGAAAGCAGTGGAAATACCCTCGCATACAGTCTTGCAAGCTTTGCCAGGCTACTAGAGGTGGACCAAGGATGGGAGGCTGTCAACGACCGAGTTGTCCAGAAGGCAAGGCTTCCCCCATCCAGGCCATCACAATGAATGAGCGCCACTCACTGACTGCGGTTTCTACGCTCAGGTGGTAGAACTGGTTGTATGCCAGCCTTTGGTGAATATTCTCCGGGGCGCGATGGCAATACTCGTCTCTATTGTCTCCCGACCGTACCACGCCGATCGATCCTCCCAAATCAACACCAACAACCACGCCGGAGGGTTCCAAGCCCTGAAACCGGCTCTCGCAGTTTACCCACAATTCCTCGAGATGCTGGTGACGAGATTATCTTCCGCAGACCATGCTCTGTGTGCGAATGCTCTCCAATTGATCAATTCGCTTATGCGAGACGCCATCACAAATGACAATGAAACCGAGTGGCCCAAATTCATCAAGAGAATACAAGATCTTGGGGTAATCAAGGCAGTGTATGTGCTGATGCAGAGTTCGGCCTTACAAGATTTGGCGCATCCCTTGCTTGAATTCCAAGCATTGACGAAAATCTTGCTGAGGAGGTGGAGAGACGTACCGGTTGACCTAGTCAAGCCGGAACATAGGCGGACCATCAAAGCCGTCCATCTCTCCAGCAATCCTGAAAAACAACCCGAATTTGAAGTACGGAATGGGGAATCCAAATCAAAGCATAACCCGCTGAAATGGAGGCGACTTGGGTTCACGAGCGAGAACCCGGAGCCAGATTTCGCGGATATGGGCTTCCTGGGGATGATGGATCTTTCCGATTACGTCCGCAAATACCAAGACGAATTCCAGAATATCCTGCTGGAACAATCAGTGCTGCCGGAGCAGCAAAGGTGTCCATTGGCTCGGGCTAGTCTGACGTTGACGGCAATACTCTTTGAGCATTTTGAAGTGGACAAGATGGATCTGGAGGATTCCAAAAGCTACCTGGCATTGGAGAGCCGGACCAACTTTGACAAAGTGTTCAAACCCCTATTACTACACTGGAGTCGCCTACATGTTGCTGGATTGCATGCATTCTTCAGATTATGGAAGGCAACGGGTGCTGAAGTCGACGATTTCCCCAAAATTGTCGAGTTGATTCGAATTTTAGTGGAGAGTGTGGTCGGTGGAGCTGATCGCACCAAGGGTATCGAAGATATCGAGAAAGAGATGGCTGCCTTCGAGTACAGCAAACTTCGTGAGCTACAGATGGAACTCTTGGAACTGACATACGAAGACGTGTGGGGTCAGCATCTTCGAGGAGTCAAGGAAGAGCTGCAGAGCGAAGCTTTGCAATTCGTCAAGGAGCAAAGGATTCGGTGCCTGCTGGCCGGAGCATGGTTTCCCAATGGCACATATACGGATCAAGAAGGCGGAGGCCCTGTAACGGAGGATACTTTGGTGCAAAACACAACGCATGGCTATCGTTTCATCAGACTCTCCGAGAACCGCAAGTATTTGCATTGGGGCGATTTCGACGAAAAGGAAGAGCAATCCCCGTCCACAGCTAGTTTGAGGGACAAGATCGATCTATCGATTGTATCATCTGTGGTTTCCAATGTAACGGCCAATGACAGATCATCAATTGGTTCGGATTCGACGCTGAAGGAATTGCTCCATGACCGCTTCACCACCAACAAGATCACGATCCATGGATTCCTTCCCAAATCCCGCGGCAGCCGAGAAGGGCATTCGAGAACTTCCTCAAAGACGTCTTCGCCCCGACACGGGGCCAAGGAAGCGGTCCTTCTTACCTTCCACCCGAACGGTCACAGCCTTGCCTCGGAATGGCTCGACGGACTTTTGATGCTTTTGGACCAGCAACCGATTACCGCCGAAACCAACAGTCTCATACATATGATCAGTGACTACGGGCTCAAAGTCCGGCTCCTGAACGTGCGATTCAATGACGAGGAGGGCATCGTGGAGGGTATGGATGGAATGGATGGTCCTGAGATTCCAAGCAGAGAAGGTCTGGACGATGACTACTATTATGAGATATGATTTTGGAGGCTTGAGGCGAGTCACGGAACAGGCGACAGAAGAATATTGCCTGACTTCAGACCTGTCCTTTGGATAAAATAGGATCACAGAGCTGGAGGTTATCTCGGGGGAAAGCTGGGCTACATTTGAGCTAGGGATGAAGCTTGATGGTGTCCAAACGCGAGATCGACTTGAGCGAGTTTTTTTGGGCGATTTCCTTTGTTGAGATACCCTGATATCGCAGTCAAACAGACGCGTGGTCGGTTGGCGTCCAATTCGAAACCATTGAGATATCAAAAGGTGGTATCGCTTGAACAGTCTCTCATGCAGGGGGTGTCAGCTGGAAGCTATCGGTACAGTGTCTGAACAAGCCTGTTCGGACTGCGCAGGTCACAGGTTTGTAGATGATAAGACATGCGATGCGAGCATTCGCCGTCTTCTTCTTCGCAGAGGCTTTGGAGAATTGGAGAAAGGACTCTTCCTCTTTTCATACTTTGGACTCCATCCACGTGCTGGTTCTGGGGCCGCGATTGGTGACCATCGCAATGGGTGTTACCGCATTACCTCTTACTTTGTACTTGTAGTTGGGCAGAAGAGGCAAATGCACGGAGAAGAAAGATTTCGCGGTGTAATTTCCTCTCCCGCCGAGGCTTGCCGCCCCTCCAGTGCAGCTTCTGGGCAAAGGCTCTAGCCTGTTACAGGGGCCTTTAACCAAGATGTTCGTAGTTCTCGTAAAAGTCTTGAGGCTCACTGCAGCCACCCAGAGGGGCCCTAAGCCACAGCAAGCCTAAGTCGAAAGCCCAAGGCCAGAGGTGCACCCCACTACTGCCCCGCGCTGGACCTGATGACCGAATCAGCGTAGTCGCCTGCGCCATCTTGGTTCCTCAGTTGGTCTTGGAGGCGCACACAAGACGGTCTTGTCTTTCACTGGTTGCCACCAGATCGACCTCACGCCCGCTCTCCCGCCTCCCAAACCAAACGCTTGGAGTAAGGTCTTTCGTCATGGCTGTGTTGCTCATTGCTGTCGTCAGCCTTAGCGGTTCGGATTGGCTGTAGCAGCCGAAATCGACAGCAGCGTTACAACACAGCTCGCACGTCGTGTGCCTTTGTGTCCTTGTCGCGTGTCCTTCAATGGTCTAGCCATGCATGCCCATCCGATATGGCGCTGGCTGATCGCTGCACTGACCGGGTCCTCCTCTCCCTACGGCGCCCACTCAGCTCGAGCCAAACGATCTAGCTTGGGATGTCAACTCGTCGACGGCTAGGGATAGTTCCCTCGTGCCAATCGAGGGAATGGTTTTCCAGTGGACTGTCAGGAATTCGGAGCGAGGGCCCACGTCAGTCCCCTAGTCCCCATGGGTTTTTCCTCCCATTGATAAACCTACTGTTGTCCCTGCTTCTGTATCTCGGTTTCTTCTGTCCTGTCACTCTCGCCTGTTCCACTTGCGACAAAAGAAGATAAAGACTCGTTTGGGGCAAAGAGAAGAAGAGCCAACTTGTTCCTCGACTGGCAAGCCTTTTGGATAGGTACGACTGCTTGCGACGTCGCTAGAACGATATCCCTCCCTCTTCAGGTACAAGCAAAGACCTAGCCGCCATGTCTACCGATTATCCGACAAAAGAGGTGGTTGAAACCCAAGCCGACTCGAAAAATGTCCGCCATCATCACCAACACTCTCTTAGTGAGAGAGTGCGCCATAGCATCTCTGTGCAGTCGCTCGATGAGAACACGGTGGAAGGCCAAATTTTCTCCATGAACGATGTCGATCCTGCTCTTGACAAGAAAATGCGCCTTGTGAATGATGTCGGTCATCCCCCAAACACTTTGTAACGCCTCGGAGTTGCGAGTGTAGAGACAAGAAGCTTGGAGGTCATGGCCGCTAACCAGCTCGCGTAGGCTATCGACGAAATTGGCTGGACCAACATGCATCTGAAGCTCTTTTTCCTCAACGGCTTTGGCTACGCAGCCGACTCTTTGATTCTGCTACTGCAATCAGTCACTGCTGGCCAGGCCGCACTTGAGTTTAACCCTTCTTTTAGCAATGGTCTTACCGTGGCTGCATACTGTGGCATGTTGATCGGAGCCTTGTTCTGGGGATTGAGTAGGTTTTCCCCATGGATTTGAGGCAACTCCACATTACTGACGGGTTGAAGGTGCTGATGTGATTGGTCGTCGATTCGCTTTTAATGTCTCGTTGTTCAGTTGTTCGATCTTTGCCATCGTTGCGGGTGCGTCACCCAATTGGTATGCTCTGGGTGCCTTTGTAGCATTGGCAGCATTTGGCTCTGGAGGGAACTTGATCCTGGACACCACTGTGTTCCTCGAGTACCTGCCTGGCAACAAGCAATGGCTTCTGACGCTGATGGCGTGCTGGTGGGGACTTGCTCCTGTGATTGCGGCGGCTTTTGCGTGGCCTTTCCTCTCAATCTCGAGATACAACTGTACCAGCCACGCGACTTGCACCTACGACAACAACATGGTAATCTTGCCTGTAACAATCATACACAAAAGATTCGCTAACAGTTGCTCAACAGGGCTGGCGTTATGTCTGGTACTCAAACGGAGCATTGGTCTTTGTTCTCAGTATTCTCCGGGTGACGGTCATCCGGCTCAAGGAGACACCAAAGTACCTCCTCGCGAAGGGACAAGACCAGGAAGTTGTCAACACTTTCCATGCGATCGCCACCAAATACAACAGACCGTGCTCGCTCACTATTGAGCATCTCGAGGCGTGTGGTCCCATCAAATCGACATATGGCAAATCGCGATATGGATTCTCCGAGTTTTTGGCTCATCTGCGAGGTCTCTTTGCGACCAAGAAACTCGGAGTCTCTACATGCTTGATTTGGCTGTCGTGGACCTTGATTGGTAAGTGCAGAAGGATGGCGTCTCCATGCCAGAAACTCTGGAGCTAACCACAAGCTTATCAGGACTTGCCTATCCGCTCTTCTACGTGTTCCTGCCCCAGTTCCTCGAGAGTCGTGGCGCTCAGACGGGGCAAAGCGGCGCCTACTATACCTGGCGAAACTACATGATCACGAACTCGGTCAGCATCTTTGGTCCGGTGCTTGCTGGGATAATGTGCAACTGGAAGTATCTGGGCAG